AACTATTTTACTTGTCAGAGTCACTCATTCAAATCTTCATTTTTGTTATTACAATCATAACTAGTTTTCTGAGTCTTCTATAGCCTGTGTCAATTCTGTTGGAAGTATGAGGTGAGGATACCTATTTTCTTTCAGTTTGTAATCTTCTTTTTGAGTCTTGCTTTCCATCCAAGGTCCATTGATTCAACTTGTCTTCCATCTCCTCAGTAACTTACTGTTGCTAGCCTACACAATATATATATATTGCAAGAGCAGCATGGTACACAAGAAGAAATGTACCCTGCAAATGCTCACTTAGCACGTTGTGCCTTGTTACCATGCAGCCAATGAGCTACTGCGAACTCCATAGTGAACTCCCCAATTGCTCTGGTCTCTAGGGACTTAAGTATTGATTGAACTGTTGAGTTTTAGTTACTTATGCTAAATATCTAGGTTAGTTATTCATAATTAAAGAAATAACTTACCTTAAAAGAGGGGGGATGGTAAACTGACCTGCCAACTCCTTGCAAACTGCTCTGTTTGTTGTCCCTGTTTGTCCCTGGTTGCTCTCAGACTTGTTCTGATGGAAGTTTTCTGATCATGGTTACATTTGGTCATAGTTACTTCTATGCCAAGGAAGTATCTTCTGCCTGTTCCTGGTTTTATTTTATCCTATCCCTGAGGAAATAAAATAGGCCTGCATGACATCATTGTCATCATCCTCATTGTTATCATTTAGACTTGAATAACTTGTCATTTTACTGAAAAATCACCAGATAGTTCAGCATGCTAATAGTCTCGTAGCAGGCATAGCAGCTGTGTTGCAACTGAACATTGGTTGTGCAGAGCTCTGTGGTGGGGGAGGTTTTCATTTCCTACCTACTTCAAACCTGGCTCAGGCTAGTATTATTAGTGCCACCCAGATTATAAAAGATGAACATACGACAGCTTCTCCAGTTTTCTCAGAAGTTTTCTTCCCCCAAAAGAGAGAAACAGAACCATGTTCAAGTAATCTGCAGGAAATGCAATGCTATCTGTCTAATCTTGAGTCATTGGCATAAAATTATTGTTTTTGTTGTTAAAAGATGTAAAAATGCATGCAAGACACAGCTAACGTATTTGTATGTTGCCTTGATCAACAAAATCAACACAACCATATGTGTCTGAATGAGTTGCAAATGTGCAGTAGCCCTGCCTAGACCCTACCCTAGGAGCCCTACACATTTCCATGCCTACATGTAAGTTAGAGCTTGCGATCTGATTCTTCCTTTCACTCTGTTGGCTTACCAGCTTACTCTGAATTTACATGAATTTGAGAGAGAAATTAAGGAAAATCAGATGTCATCAGGCACTGCACTTGGAGGATTGTGTCATAGATTCATAGATGCTAGGATCGGAAGGGACCTCAATAAATAATTGAGTCTGACCCCCTGCCTACACAGGAAAGAGTGCCTATCCAGATGCCTATCCAGTCTTCTCTTAAAGACCCCCAAGGTA